ACATTACATTACATTGCATTGCATTGCATGAATACATGCATTGATACATACTTACATGCATTACAAGCATTACATACATACATACATACATACATACATACATACATGCATGCATGCATGCACACACACACACACACATATACACACGCCCGCGCGTACATGTGGCATTTTGCATATACTATACGATGTTGTAGTTACACCTGTTGGTATGCATGCATGCATACATGCAATACTACGAAGTGCTAAGGACTCCCGGGCTCGGGCTTGGCAACAAAAGTTCGTTTCAGCACACGACAATTCCCAAAACCCACATGGCATGGTTCAGAAAATGTGCGCTTACTCTTTAGCGGGACCTGATAATCTGGGTCCTGCTTCGGGGATCTCTGAATTTTCAGTGTTTCGAAAGACCAACCAGAGAAACCTTGACTGGTCGTTCATCTTCGGTCCGGCTGGAGTTGACCCTAAACTGCAATGATCCGCTGCTGGAAGGGACAATGCTTCTTGTCGATTTTTAGGGATCCTCGAATAAGTAGGGTATGGGCCATGTTCGACATGGTGGACACTTTTTGGAGTTAGCGTGCCGAATTTATAATTTAGGGTGCAGCATCAAACTTGGAACGGACTGCAAGGATCGCTGGTATGGGAATGCAGAAGTCGGAACACCCCTAAGATGTGGCATTTCAAAAAACCCAGATACACAGTCCGACAATGGCGGAGAAACTACGCGGAGGTGCCCCGAAGAGACGGGAGAAAAAGCCTGAAGCCCCAATCCTAAATCGCAGAATCACAGACGGTAACTTAAATCTATGACGGTTTTCAGACATGCATCTGCTGCCAATGCAGCTACTTCGAAGCCGAGCGGAGGACTTGGGCGTTAGCGTTCGCCATGAGTTCAAACATTGCCGACCGGGACAACCCCGACTCGAGCATAGCATTTTGACCGCCATCTCGGACCTCTTACTCTAGGGTCAGTGGTTCAGGGTATTTTTGTATGTGTCATCCTTGCTGGAGTCTCTTGCGAGTGGGTTCACCTTCCACGAGCCTGGTTTGAACATGACTAACCTGTGCCCCGCTGCGCTGCGTCCTTCACACCACGACTTCAAACCCTGAACCGAGACCACAAACTCGAAACCCCAAAAAAGCTAATCCCAAAATCACTCAGCCTACTTTCGAGATTCGGACTAGTAGTCACTCCTTTCTCGGATGCTGCGGCAACAGCCGTCGCACCTGGCCACGTGGAGTGTGAAACAGGCTTCTGCTATGCTTCAGTGGGAGCTTTATTTATGCATGCATGATCTTATACCGTACTACTGGGCATATCACAAAGTTCAGGACCGAGGCTGAAGCCTAGGATTCAGCTACAGCGTAAGGCTTCCGTCATCCAGAACATTCAAAAAATCTGCCTCGTAGAAAGTTGCGATTGCTGGCATAACGGAACCGCTCTTCAGTGATTGATTGAAACTCCTGTATGTTTTGCTTATTCCGATTGGAAAGACTACCGGAGATCTGAGCCCGGATAGCAGCTTGGCTTATCGCTTCACAAAGAAGCATCCAGCCCAGACCCTAAACACTCTGCAAATACCGTTTAGGCTGCAGGCTGTATGCCGTAGGCCTGGAAGCTCCGAAGCCCAAAACAGAATCGGCATTAAGGGCTCAGCATGTCAGGCTCAAAAAGAAGATGAACCACATCGACGTCGTTTAGGTTTCCCTTCGGTCTCGGGCCAAGACACTCCCTATCCCCATCTGTAACATCGACACCTTAGCAGGCGGCACAGTAGCCTCGAACTTCAACTAGCCATTAACGTTGTCATTGTAATGATGACTAACACTATTTATGTCTAGTTTCATCTATGTGTTATCCAGTTATGTTGTTTAGCAAGTTAGCTGCTTAGTTCGTTCATGCGTGAGTGAGTATTGAGTGAGTGAGTGAGTGAGTGAGTGAGTGAGTGAGTGAGTGAGTGAGTGAGTGAGTGAGTGAATGACTGAGCGAGCGAGCGAGGGAGGGAGTGAGTGAGTGAATGACTGAGCGAGCGAGCGAGGGAGGGAGTGAGTGAGTGATGATGAATTAGGTCCTTCCTCCGTCCGTCTGTTTGTTCGTTCGTTCATCCGTCTGTCCCTCCGTCCGTTAGCCAGGCAGTCAGTCAGGCGGTCAGCTACCTATTGCTTGCAAGCACACTCCAGGCCCTAAACCCGAAATTGTAAACCTCGACCGCAATCTCTAAAGCCCCAAAGGCCTGAACACCAGACCCCACCACTGACATTCAGAAGCCCTGATGGTTCTGAGTTTCATGTTTAGGGTTGGTCCCATCGGAACCTCCCGTTTGTCCGTCTTCAGGGACTTCGTCTGGCTTCTGCTGCCGAGCCTGGCTCGTTAACACAAGCCTTAAGACCCGATATAGAGGTCCTCGGAGCCTTGACAACCCGAAGAAGGTGGGTTTAGTGCACTAATTTTGAAGAGGGACTCGCCACTTAACTGTTCAGATCCTACGTAGAGTGTAGGGAGTCGGAATCCCCAATTTAAAAAGGGCTCAGGGGCCTAGGTTGAAAGGGTCAGGGTTTAGGAAACTGAGTGCTTCTGGAGAGAAGAACATGAGGTGCTGTGGTGATCTGGTTTGTATTCAAGAATTCCTTGATGGGCTGCCGCAACTTCTTTTGCAAAGTTGTTAAGAAAGAAACCAGAGGTAGGCAGTCATACTGCGATGACAGGGCGGGTGTAACCTCTAGAATAAATAGGCCGGAGACCTGAAATGTTCGAAACCCTGCATAAAGCAAGTCTCACACCTTCGGCGGCGCAAACCCCTGCACTAAACCATAAGTCTTAAAACCATAAGCTCTGAACGCCAAGCTCTCTGCCCTAAATCTTGAAGTTGAGTCGTGCCTTGTGGGCTTTGAGAATCTACAAACGCTGAAAGCTTCTCGGCTATCAGCGTCTTCCCGAAACCGCATGAAAATCATGAACTTTGCAGCGAATAAAGCCTGCACCAACGCGCAGGAGCCCTCAAGACCGAACAATAAGTCCTAAACCACCTGGACCCTTCAACCGAAATGCCAATTGCCAAACCCTACACTGCACCTTAAACCTTCAACCCTACATCGCTAGCGGCCCAAACCCTGATCCCAGAAGAGCTGAAAACCCTTCGACGCCCACTACGAAGGCTTTATAAGGCTTTGTCAAGAGAGCTCTAAGGTTTTTCAGGGTTTGGGCTTTGGATTTCAACGCTTCCGGTGCGGAGTTCAGGGTTCATACTTGCTGTGGGGCATTAAAAGCAAGGTTTTCGGGCTTCGGAGCACTTGTTGGGAGAGACTGGGATTCCTCTGCTCCTGGGAGGTTTCCAAACTTCTGGTGTCACCAGCATTACCTGTCGCAAGAGATTCACGCACTTCCCGAGATGTTTGTAGTGTCGTGGCCCCTTCGAGAGCCCTTAGCAAATATCACAGCCGCTACAAGTCGTGAAGTTGAAACTCAAATCTCCGAACACCGTCAGGCCCAAACCTAAATGTTAAGCCAACGAGCCCCTAAACCCCCAAAGTCCTGACTCCTAAACCCCAAAGCCAGACGCTAATACTGTACAAGCACTCCCAGTCCGCACTCTGAATCTTAAGCCCAGAAACCCGGGCACTAAATCCTCAACTTATTACTTGGATCATATATGTATATATATATATATATATATATAATATTAGTCATATGAATTGTACTCACATATAAAAAATAACTAAAACCTGAACCCGGAACCTGCTCCGGCACCTCCGGCGTCACTGTGGAGGCAAGAGCCATTAGCTTCTCCAGGGCCTGGCTTTCCAAGCATGCTGGGTCTTAATTAGGCCGCAGGCTTCAAGGGTTTCGTGCTTGCCGTTTTGGTTTGAGGCTTTTGGTTTGGAGTTTAGGGCTTAGGGCTTTAGGTACTGTGTGTCGTTGAGTGCCCGGTTAGAGGGGTCGGGATTGAGAACCGAGTCGTTTCATGGTTTGGGTTGGGTAAAATCCCCCTTGGCAAGTGCTAACATATTTTGTCCCCAGTCGTTCCTCGCGAATGAACTGCTGCGAGAAGGCGATTGACCCGGCTGTTCCGGAAATAAGGTCACATAGAAAGAAGCTGACTGTGAGGATCCCCGAAAACAACCACGGCCTACCACAAAAAGACCTGAAGCCCGATACCTCAATCTGAGACCCTGGCCGCCCAAACCCGGCACCCTCCCGAACCCAAAACCTAAAAACCCCAAGGCCCAAATCCTACTAACACCAAAAAACCCCCTTACTTAAACCCGAAGGCTTCTCAAACCCACGGCACCTCTCCGATTGCTGGCTCCCAGCTGCTTCCCCGCGCCGGCCTCGCACAGAAAGGAGAGCCTAAGGTGTGGAGCCTGAGCTATAAGGGTTTCGAGGGTTTGGGGTCTTAGGGTCAAGGGCTTGAAGACTAAGGCAATTAGTGATACTCTTCTTAGGCGTTCCTTGTTTGCTGCAATTCCAATATAAAGCCGCCCACAACCCAAGTCTAGATACTACGGATCCTAAATGAGGGTCCGGTGTCGTCTGTGGAAGGCTTCGGGCGAGCAGAGTCGATCTTGACGAAACCTTGAACCTGAAACCCTAAACCCTATACCCCAAAATCCCCTCAAACCATAAGCCGGCGAAGAAGCTCAGAGCTGACGGCCAATCAGCACTTCCGTGGCACTCTATACGGGTTACTTTGAGGGGTGCTACAGGGATTACAAAGAAGGTTACTGTAGGAGCTACTACAGGGGTGTAGTATATGGGCATCTATGGTTTCTGTCTGTTCGGGTCTGCGCTCAACTCCAAAAATAGGAACACCAAAGCTCAAGAACCCGACCTGGGCTCAGGTTCCTCTGCAGGTGTGACAGTCCTGCGAAGGTGGGGGCTTCATCACTTACCCCACACAGTTTTAGCTCTTCGGGGGTGTAGGGTGTAGTTCTGTGGCTTAATTGAGGCGTTTGGTTTAGAAGCTGTTGTGACTGAGAGGCGCTGAGGGCTTGGAGATTCATGGGAGACCCTCGTCCCTAAGCTGCAAAACAAAAGACCCGTTAAATTCCCCAAAATTTACGAAGAACGCAGTCCGGTTTCAATGACAGGGGGAAGGGTCGGACTTTTGGGTTTAGGGCTCCCTCATAGGGGCCGAAGGCCCACAATTTTTCAAGGTATATCAGGATTCTCGACTCTCGAAATGTGTATGATCCTTCAGAGCATTGTACCGGTTTTACCTTCAGAGCTGGCTGCCTCCTGCACAAGCAAACAACCGCAACAACAAGTCAGAGTACCCCGCCCACCCTTTAGAAGCCCGAAACATTTCAACCTTTACACCCTCAACCACATGCTCAGCCCCAGATCCAAATCCGAAACCCTGAATGCTGCACCCTGGAACCTACATCCCTACAAGCCTTGCACATGCTAATGTATAATGCGCCATCCAATAGAAAGTTGCGGAGACCATGTGAAACCCCGTAGCAACAACTTCATTGCTACAAGGGCGGCAGGTCCGTTCAAACTCTTTCGGGCTGTCCATGTCCACGTCCATGGTCTTCCTTGGCTTACACGGGGTTCCTACAGCTAGCAGTGCCTCATTTAGGGTCGTAGCATTGGCATCTAGATTGGGGGCCTTTGTCTTTTTGAAACTCTCCAACAACAGGTCCACAGTTAGGGTTAGGGCTGGGGCTTGGTACCCAAGGCTTCCCGGAAACATTTCACGATTTTTGCTCTTGCAGCATCCGGTCATGCTTCAGCCCCTGCAAGCTTCCCACCAAAGGGGCCCTTCCTGATCAACAGAAGTTTGTTTCGCGGGTGTATATAACTGCATAAAATGATTAGATGAAGGAACACTAGATTGCATGGTAATTAGCACAGCCCCTGCGTTATGACCTGTAGAATGCCTTTACACCTGCAAAACGTTCCACATCCCGGAGCTGTTTGAGCAACCCTATCTCGGAGAAACAAGCTGAAAAGAGGTATTCACCCAAGACCTGTACCCTGAAACAGTTTGGGACACCACTGGAACACCTAAGCGGCCCTGAGATCAGCCGAGCCCAAATGAAGTCCTGCGGAATGTAGAATCCATGAGTACTCAGCAGACTAGCACTTGGCTCGGCTTTGAAACACCAAACTTTCAAACCCCTGCAACTAAACTCCGAAATCCCTGAACCCCAAACCGCAAACAACTGAAAACTGGATCCCTCGACCCCTAACCCTAACAACTCGGCCCCTAAACCCCAAACTCTTGCCCACACCCGGAACTCCTTGCTCCGCACACCGAGGGTCGGCTCTGCTAGGTCTCGTTCACCCGGCTGCTCAAACTCCTACGTAGGTTTGAGATTCAGGTATGCTCAGGTTTCAGGGTCCAAGTTTCGGGGCTTATGGATGTTTGGGGTTTAGGTATAAAATCTTTTTGGGGCTTAGGGTTCAGGGCTGTTGAAGCTTGGGTTGTTGGCATGAGGCGCAACAGGTCTGGAAGTCGATTTACGATCGAGGGCATTTTGTTTATCAGGGCTCGATGTTGGAAATCCAAACAAATCTTAAAGCCCCACAAATTGATAACCAGCTTTGTCAAAGCGAGACACTGCCTGCTCATGCCAGCAGTAAACACAGCAAAGCACCGGCGCGATCCGAAAGTATTGCGCAACACATTGAGCACAAACTCGATATCGACAGCCCGAAAGCCAATCTAGATTGTAGAGATCGGTGGCGGAAAGTTGAAGAGTCCGTAGAAGTCCAGTTCGGTGGACAAGTGGCATGTTTTCAGACTGGCCCTGACCTGCCATGGCTCGTAGTTGACAGCAGTCGCTAGATTGCTGTTCTCGCTGGCAGACGCACCAGCAGAGTGAGGTGCCCTCGGTAGCAGCCGTGCGCCAAGCCAAGACCATTGTCATGAATTTCCTTGAGCGGTCCTTGGGCTGAATGGATGGGATTGTTTTGGCAACAACTGGACCGGCATCAGGATCTGGAGTCTTGATGCCGCGTCCCGGAAAAAATCGTTGGGCCTTGATGCCGTAAAGGCATTGGGCTCAAGACAGCTTCAAGCTTTTTCCGTTGCCACATGAGGGTTGGGTAACTCCTGAGCCGCTAGACTCGATGTGATTTCAAGCATGCCCGTTCGTGGGATCATTTTCGGGGCGCCAGACCCTTCAGGGTTGCGGTTTCACGGTTTGCATGAGTCTTAGGCACTGGGTTTGGCAATGAGTTTTAGGGGTTTACGAGGGTTGGGGTTTCAAGGCTCAGGTGCGTGCAGCGCTTTGTTACGGTTTGTAGGGTTTAAGTTTAAGCCTGAAAGTTGAGTTTTGTGGCCTTGGTGGATTGTAACCACGTCAAATTCTGAATCCCCAAACCAAAACGACCTAAACCGTAATCCTGAAACCTTGAACTGTAAAGCGCAGAAACTAAACCTAACCCCAAGCCTAAACCCTGAACTGTGAAACCCCAAGCCTTGAACTAAACGGGTGCGAGCCGCGGGCTCTGTGCATGCCAGCGGCCAGCGATACCGTGAGGCTCCAAGAGCCCGAAGAGCCAGCTCCCTCCAGCTCCTAGTGCGGATCCGTTGAGGATGGCCCACACAAAGGCACCTGCCCCAAGGGCCCCTGCGCCAACAGGCGAAACCACATCACGCCAAACGCACGACCGTCAACTTGGGATCTTGGGGGGTCTCTCCAGCCTCCGGGCCTTGGCAGCACGCAAATTCCTGTTCGACGTGGGCTTCCGGCTCATTGCCAGGGCCACAATCGGTCGACATCACATGTTGTGGGCGGCTGTTTCACAAAGGCCAGAGCCCAGCCGAGCCAAGAGGCAAAAGAAACCGAATCCACAACCCAGACCACCAAGCACGCCGCCGTGACCTGTCAGGTCGACCTAAACCACAACGAAAAGCACAAACTTCACAAAACCAAAAACCTGAGCGCCAAACCCAAGCCCCGACACCTCAACCCACAGGCTAAGCCCTAAAATCAGAAAAAGCTCTAAGCCCATAGCGAGATCCAAACCCTCAACTCTGGACCCTAAACCTAAAGCCCATGACCCAAACCCTCACCTCTAAACTCTCAAGCCGAAACCCGCATGCCCAATACTCCAAGCACGCTCCTCCATCGCCTGGTTCCGCTCCTGTTGAAGGAGGAGCTCCTGGTCTTCTAGGGTTCAAAACTTGTTGAAGCTGTTTCAGGGGTCATTAGGGCTGTACTGAAACGCGACAGAAGCCCTATACATACAGCGTTTCACCAGCGAATCGTTGGTTTTACAGGGTTCTTTTCGGGGCCTCAACACGGAGCGCTGAACCAGAGGGTTCTGATGGGTTTCAATCAGGGTTTAGGGCTAAACATGTTAAGGGTCTTGGGGACCAAGGATGTCAGGATTCAAGGCTCTAGGGCGTAGGGTTAGGGTCTGCGTTTGGGGCTTTGAAGGTTCTTGTTTAAGAAACGTTGAGGAATAAGCGTGTTTTTCTTTTTCTGCAGGGCTTTCAATGATTTGAGAAAAAACATTCTGGTGGTTCAAGGAACTGAAGCAAAGTTGTCACAGAATTGCTATGTCTGGACCTCCCCATGATGGCAATTTTCTAAACTTTCTTGACAAAAGCCAGGTCCAAGGTCTGCGTTGGCGAGGGAACAGGACGGAACGATGCCGGAGTTGCAAGACGGCTGAGGGTTTAGGGTCTAGGGGGTGGGTTCTGGGGATGTTTCAAAACTGCCGATAGACTGCTTACGGGGACATGGGCTGGAAGGTTGTAGGGGCTAGGTTTTGGGCTTGTCGGATGTGGGGTGGGTCTCGAAATTTTGGGCCAACTGGGATCAGGATACCACAGCTTTGTGACAACCAGGTGTGGCCCAAGAATCGTTTAAAAACACTTAGACCCTGAAACCGTTGAGCCTAAGACCGCAAGCCCCAAAAAAACCTAAACCCTTTAAGTCTAACGCCCACAGACAGAGGGCCAAAACACCCTAAAACCCCGGACCCCGAAACTGCCCCGTGTCTCCTGCATGTCGATCTCCTGGGGCTCCCAATACCTCAGCAAGCTTTGGAAGTTTTAAGGTCGTCTACTTCTCATAAGGGTTCTACAATGAGTGCAGCGGTTTGTACAACGGTTGTGCGACTGTTGTATAAGGGTCTTATGCGGTGCGGCTCTCGTTGAGGAGCTTGACCGAAGTAGTGAGAGGCTCTATGCGAAGTCAGGGAAAAGAACATGGTCTCGTCGTACCGGTGACTCAATCAGGGTTCCTTACTTCGTGGAGCTTCCAAACCCTCAAGCCCAATTAATAGCCCCAAAACCCTACAACGCCAGAACCCAGGATGTTAAGATGCTAAACTCCGAAACTCGCAGTGCCAATGATGAACCTTGAACTTTTTCTTACAGGGAGTTTGGAACCTCTCTCGTGCCTCAGATTCTGCTCAGAGGGGCTGATGCGCAAACACAGAAACCCATTGAAACAAGTCCGGATGATGTAGGCATTTATGGACCGTAGGGCCGTAGGGATTGAACAGCACAAACTTTTCCACCATTTAGCAAATAACGAAAACCAGAATGACTGGAACTCAAAAACGTTTTAGTGTTCTGGAAACTTAACCACAACATATCTATGACTCGCCGAAACTTGAAACTAGCAAAGCCTGTCAGAAAAGGTAAGCCCCTACAGCTGCAGCGTCCCTCAGAGCCTTTCAAACACCACTCACGCCAGGCCACGAAAAGCTTTCTGGCGCATCCAAGGACTCTGCTGCGTCGGCTGCCGCCGGTGCCGGCCTGGATCCCCCAGAGTCGTTTAGGGTTTCTGTCCCGCCTTTGGAACTCAGGGTTTGGAGTTCAGGGGCTAGGTTTTGGAGCTTAGGGGTTGGAGTTTAGGGGTTGGGGCTTAGGAGTTTTCTAGACGTGAGAATTTCGGGTTGAGGGTTTTTGGCGTTTAGGGCGTGAGGTCTAACGGTTCACGCTGATTCTGAGTCGACCTGCGTGTGGTTGATCTCCAAATCTGCTTTCAAGGTCTGCTCGCGTTCCTGCCATGAGGTTGGTTTAGGGTTTAGGCTAGGCGTTCTGAACTTCGGTGTGAAGCCGGTACTCCCGTGTTTACTGACGCACTCAAGAAGCATAAGGGCTCGGGCATAAGGACTTCTTCGTGAGAAAGCTAAACACACTAAATTTAAGAAACATTAAACCTTCGGTTGAAGATTCAGTGTGGGTTTAGTGCTTAGGGTTTGGAGTTCCGGTGTCCGTGTAGCGTCGAATTTAGGTTCAGGTTGCAGGAAGAAGATCGGAATCTTGCGAAAAAGGTTAAGAGTCTAAGACCCATGCTTGCGGACGGCATGATCACTGCCGTCGGGCACTGCAGGTAGACCCTGAACGTGCCTTGTACATCCAGGGATAAAGCCCGAGAAGCTGTAAACGAGCGAGATTCTGCCAAGATACGAGGGATGACGCACGGTGTCCGTCGCAGGCGGAGGTGCCGGCAGCGCTGCCCTTGTTTGGCTTGTGGGCTTCAGGAACAAAAACGTTGCGACTTTGGACGCAAGGTTCGAGGTTTTGGATTTCTATGCATGCTTGACTCACAGGTTCACGGCTGGAACGTCATAGACCCTGTTTCATCCCGTAAACATTCACCTTCGAGGTTTAGTACCGACAACTTCTAAAAACATCTGGCGCCCCTTCCCTTCTGGGTTTCCCGACGGCGCAGATCCAGCTGCCGGGGAATGCTCCTCTTGCTTCCTTGCACACCGTGGCTTTTCAATCAAGGGGCTTGAGAAATTGCAGATGCGAGGCCTTTGCAGAGCCTACAGCCTAGGAACGGAGCCCGAAAGACACACTAAACCCTCAAACCCTCTGAAGGTCTCAAACACAATGTGCATGCATGTATATCTATACCGTCTATACCTATACACATGATAAGAAACAACGATTAACGAAGGCAGTGGTGATGACAAAACGCCCCAGACCCTCAATGATTAATACCAACAGTCGTAATAGCAGAACGCTCTAGCCTCTAGACCCTCAAACCCTAGAGGCTTGAAGATAATATGATTAGTGCCAATAATAGTACTTATAAATGATCACACCAAACCCTCATTTTTTTGTGGCCCTTGCGCTCTTGCCGCCCAGCTGCGGAGGAGCCTCCGAGGCGGTCGCCTCGGCCGCGTGCACCGGGGACGCCTTGGACTTCCTGAAGGAGCTGTCTAGAGATTTAGGGTATGGGGCTCAGGGTTAAACCCGAACATCCTCCACCCTTGGCAGTCTAAGACCTAAAAGCCAGAACCGTAAAGGATTAAGGGCTGCTCATTTTAGCCTGCAGGTTTGGGCTTTTGCTGCAGGTTTCCAATTCAGATGTAGGGCTGGTTAGTGTGGGCTTCAGGTTTCAGAGTCTGAGATTTGCTGCGGAATCGAACGGTGAAGCGCCTCGGCCAAATACAGAAAACAGCGCCGGTTGACACGCACAGTGGGTGAGGTGAGGCGAGGCAAATGACCAAGATTTTGCCCGATCTGTTTAGAGGTTCGCGAGAGCCAACAGAAATCGGCATTGAACCCATTAAGGTGCTTATAAACCGTTGTGTCACTCCCCATACTACTCCCCTTGAACCTTCACGTCCGAGTCCTATTTACGCCTGCGAAGAACCTCTGCAAAATCTAATGGAAATAAGACGCTTTGCAACACATCCCTTGATAAAACCTCGTACGAACCTCAAGTAAGGCCGGATTTGGCGGTGTATAGCGTATGGGAACTGAGAAACTTCAGCCCAGAGTCGGCCGAGCAGTGGTGAATCTGCCGATCCTCTTCGGGGCCTCCTCGGCACTATATCCGCTTCATGGAAGGGTGAGAAGGTCGGATCAGGGGTCTCAGTGAATGCAGGTATACGCCAGGTAACTTAGTAGTTCCTACATCTACCCCTAAGAAGGCCTGTATTACTAATTCTACTTTTCACAACATTTTCCCCTCCAAGCAGAGGTTGAGGGCTAGGGGATCTGAGAGGTTCCGGATTTTGGAGGGTTTAGGGCTTCAGGCTTTCGGAGTCTATGAGCCTATGGCTGTAGGGAATTCGAAGAAGCCCCCCAATGAAGAAGACAAACTTTCGACGACCCTACAACGTGAAACAGCTCGTTTTCAGCTGCACGACCCGCCCTTGTTTGAACGGTGCAGGACTTAGAAGGTTGTTGTCAGCAACCTCGGGATGAAGTGTCGGTGATTCCCCGCGTCTGCAGATCGGCAAACAGTAAGGATTGTGTGGAAGACTAGGGCAATCCACGGCATTGCAATAAAAGCCACCCTACAGCTCAGTGCTCTATTAAATGGCTCCAGTCACTAGGTTGCCACAGGCCCGAAACCCCAGGCCGTCCCCCTCTGAACCCACAAGATATGGCTTGCTTGCCGAAGGGGCTTGCGCTGAATCCGCTTCACCGGTGTCTTGCGGCCTAGGGCTGCTGAGTTGAATAGGTCTTCAGGTTTCGTGCCGGGTTAATTCAAAACCAAAGCCTCTTGAAACGTCGCTCCAGCAGAGTTGCGCAGGGTTTTACGACATGCTGTTGCGTTGCCTTGAAGGTCTTCTGCGACACACGGGTGGCTTGTTGATACTCCCTATCATACTAGACTCTTGTCGTTATGTCCTCTCCATTCCTAAGTATCCTGCGTTCTCATCTGGAGCCAAAGCGAGAAGCTGTATGGTTAAGAATCAAGGCTTGTGGTTTCGCGCTGAGGGGGGAGGATTCGGTCATGAGCCACTCTACCGCTATGCACATCATTCAACAGATGTTCGACCCCAGGGATATGTCCTTGCTTCAAAGAGGAGATACCCGAAGTACCAACGAGTCGACGAACGACGATCGCCGCACGGGTATGCCGACAGGGGTTACAAGTGCATTGGTGATGGTGTCAGGGATGGAATTCTCAAACTCGTGGACCCATATGGAGAGATGTGTGCTCATCCTGACTGGAGGAACGTCGGACCTTCGACTGCTCCAAGACTCATGAGTGATTCCAGGTACAAAATGGGCCAATGGGCATTACGTCAAATTCAAGCAGACCGACGCCATCGTATGGCCGGAACCCGACACATTGCCAGAGGATTTGATTTCTGCATACTTGAAGCAGGGACACTGGCAGAGCAATGAGTGAGCACTGACGATGATGACGAGGACGATGCTGATTCTGGTGATGACGATGATGACGAGTGCGACAAGTATGACAATGATGGTAAGAATAAGATATATGAAAGTAACAGTCACATGAAGATTCTCGCTATGCAAGAACTTCTAGAGAGGTCTGAGCAAGTCGTAGCTATGTCCTCTTATAGTTCCAAACATACTGTACAACAAGAAACTCTCAATACCCGGACATCATGGTCGAGTGCAATGCTAGCCTTCACTATGGGTGAAAAAATTCGACTTGTTTGATACGGCCCGAAATCCTCAGCAGAAACTGAAGGCTTCCATCCCAAACCGCATGCTGCCTCAACCTGAACCCTGCACCCTCAATCCCACAACCCTGGACCCTCGGGTGTTTGGACTCCAACAGCGCTGTCGAGCGCGCCAGATGTGGCCGGAAGCCTCCTGCCAGCGAAAACACATTGCAAGCGATTGACTAATGTTTAAGGCTTCGGGTTTAGGGGGCCTACAAGTATCTAATTCGAACAAACTTTGCTAGCTCTTGTTGGCGTCAAGAGTGTGCAGCGCACAGACGGGCCAAGGATTAAACAAATCCCCCATGTCTTGTGATAAAAAACAATTTAGCACTTGGAGTCGTTGACACCTGCATGCGACGAGCGTTTAAAGCAAGGGTTTTCGTTCAGGGTCTGAGGGCTGAGAAGTCCCGGGAGTGTTTCGCAGTATAGTAAACTTTCAATTCCCCCAATTTCCCCTCTGATACATAAATGCTTCTCTGATTGCCATGCCTTCGCTTGCTGACTAGCAGGTAGTAGTAGACGAGTAGTACCAATGTCAGAAGAAAATGAATACTGCTAGCGGCAACCACTTCTCTGGAGCCGAAGCCTTCGCTGAACTCCAGAAGTCGCGCCGCATCCTCGCCGGTGAGCGGGTCGATGACCTCGGCAACCCGGCAGGGCGCCTTCTCTGAGGCTGAAGGATGCTTTTGAGGCTTTTGGAAGTCGGTTTTTCGAACGTTTGGGGGAGGATCCAGGTCCTTGGGGGTTGCACAGTAGGGTGTCGCTGCGCTCTTCCTGGGTTGGCACCACCACCGAAACCATCACTACGTCTGCCAGCTTCCCACAAGAAAAGCCGCATCAGCATGACGTCTGAAGCCGGAAATGCGGACAGCAACCCGACTTCCGTCCGAATTTTCGACTGACCAGTTCCTCAAAGGCGGCATTAATTATCATTAGTACAGGACTGTCACACTGTCTCGCTTGCGAGACTGCTGGCAGCCCTAAGACAAGGCATCACACTCACATTTTCAGCGTTCGATTCAAGAGGTTGCTTGCAGCACTTCTCGAAGGTATAGACCGTGTCCTATCACCCCTTGTCACCACCTCGAGGAGTCCGGAGGCTTGGTACTTGGGTGACTCTTGGGCTCCCAAAAAGAAACGAAATGGTGCCCCGAAAAAGAAATCGACACAACGAGACCCATCTGCACGCCCGGTGCCACCGGTGCAAGAGTGCGGAAGCCTTGAACCTATCACAGGAGGCTCCACAGGGCAATCTTCGTCCGTAGGACTTGGAGCTTATTACTTCGACGGTTGAGGCAGAGCCGCAGTGCCATTGTTTCATGGAACGCTTGACATACATGACCGCACCCAAGGAGCAAGCTACTCGAAAGGAACGAGAGAATTTCAGAACAAGGAACAAACCGCTCGAAAGGGACTAGAGAAATTGAAAACTAGAAGAAAGCCACTCGAAAGGAACTAGAGAATTTCAGAACAAGGACCAAACCGCTCGAAAAAGACTAGAGAAATTGAAAAACAAGGAGCAAGCCACTCGAAAGGAACTAGAGAACTTCAGAACAAGGAGCAAACAGCTCGAAAGAGACTAGAGACATTGAAAACAGGGAACAAGCAACTCGAAAGAACTAAAGAATTTCAGAACAAGGACCAAACCGCTCGAAAGAGACTAGAGAAATTGAAAACAAAGAGCAAACCACTCGAAAGGAACTAGGGAATTTCAGAACAAGGAGCAAACCGCTCGAAAGAGACTAGAGACATTGAAAACAAGGAACAAGCAACTCGAAAGGAACTAAAGAATTTCAGAACAAGGAGCTCGAAAGAGACTAGAGAAATTGAAAACAAGCAGCAAGCC